TCACACCTGGTTTTCAGTCTCACTGGAGACCTTAAGTTGCACTTAGTCCTCCCACTGACAGTACAGGTTGCCCAGATAGTTAAGAAGGGTGGACCACAACTCCCAAGCACAAGGACAAGCTAGGCAGCTCCCCTACTTGTTTTATGTAAGTGCTGAGTCACTGGTACGCCCTCTGTCTATGGATTACACAACCAGTAACAACTTTTGAAAATCAGATTTTAAGTGTTAAGGAAGGGACTCCTGAGGACAGAAGCAGATAAAATAAGTGACCTTTTATGAAAACGTAAGTCTTACTAGTATTCCCTTTCTGATTAAATACAGCATAATGTAAAACTCTTTTCCAAGAAACATTTATATCCCTAACTTAAGTTGGTTTACCAGATTTGATATCCCATGCCTTCTATCTCACCCATTAGTGTTTTGGTTTTGTTTTGTTTTTCATTTTTCAGGATAAAAAAGCTAGATAGGACCTTAAATTTTTATTGTCTCGAAACAGAATACTCTATGCACTCTTAGCCAAATACACGAACACACTGAGACAAGGCATATTGTTTGATTTGGTCAATAAAGTTATCTCACTGTGGTTACGGCAGCAGATTTTGGCTTTCGTTGACCCAGAGAAATGGGCAATGCTTGTCAGACACAGAGTGGCACAACGAAATCAGACTATTCTTTTAAGCAGCATGGCTGAAGTTGGCACCCTGAAATCTGTCTATTTTGGTTATTTTGTATGCAACAGGGAGTTCTTAAAGCTTCTTTAGAGGCTGCATAATTTAGGTTTAACTACACAGGCATATTAATGTTGCCCTGGTTGAAGCTGAAGGGCATGCTTACCCACGATGGGATGGGGCTTGCACTGCTTACCCTACCTATGGCAATCCTGTTCATGGCAGCAGTGAGGGAACAAGATTTAACTTTTGCAATTCCCTGCACTTCACAGACAGGAATCTATCAGGGACTGCTGCAAGAAGAAAATTGGTGCCTATGCACTCCTTGGCTTTCTTCACAAGTCTGGCAAATCATTAAGTGACTTTCTACAACAACCCCCACCTCTGGATGTACCTTCAGTCAGTGCAGATTATGTTCTGCCAACTGTGAAGTGAGTCCTGTAATGTTGAGCAAATGTAGAAGAGTGCGTAACGTTTTCATGTTTTTAGTGATGTAATCATATAATTGAGCTAAATCTATTGATTACTACTGTATAATACTTAAATAAGCACTGTCCTTTCCCCATTACTACAAAGGATGTTCCATTCTTTTTATTTCTCCTTATTTAATCTACTTTAAACATGCAGCTATAAAACATACCATAATTCAAATTGTTCGGTTACACTATTTCTTGAACAGCAAGGCAAGTGCTGTTGATTTTCCTTAAATATGATGTGATACTTGTAATTTGCCTGTATTACAATATAAAACTGTGTCTCTATATGCCACCAATTCTTTGAAAATAATTGTACAGATACTTCAATACATAGAAAGAAATTGCAAATGAATATATGCAGTGGGATTTACCCGCCCTTAAAAAAAGCTGTGAAAATGCAAGATACTGTCAAGTGCTGATTGTATTATACTGTCAGCCGTATGGTCACTCAATTTTACTAGCACAGATATCTTAATTGGACAAAGATAATACTGGGCAATTTTATTGCATAACTAGCTGACTATTATAATAATGCAAACATTTGCATCTTTCCAATTATAAAAACATTATTTTTCCAACAGTCCCAAAATACAGGCATCCAGCACAACAGCCTGTTACAGGCAAGTCTAACAAATATTGTGACTTTGTTAAGGTTAGTGCATGCCCTTTTTTTTTAAAGAGAATTTTAAGTAAACTATCCAAACATTTGGAGTACAAGAAATTGCACGGATATGATGCTTGGCAGCATATATAATGATGTATGAATATGTAAGTATAGACATAGGTCACTTTGAAAGTAATGCCTCCTACTTATTTCCATAGAAACTACAGCTGATACAAAGAGCAAATAATTTGAAAGAGCAAATTCTCTGCTGAAAAGTGCTGTTTTCCAACACAGCCAATACCATTAGCTATGCATTTTCAGCAGTGATGAACAAGAGCATGCATGCTACGCTTGTAAAAATCCAAGCACGTGGAGGTAACCCACTGTTTCACAGCTGCTATAACAGTGTTGTTGCTAAGGAAATGCAGTCCATCTTTCATTGTCTCAAACAGATGGAAGTCAGAAAGCACCAAATCTGGACTATACAGTGATAGAACAGTCCAGCCAAGAGTGGCAATGTGCTCCATGTTTTTCACACTGGCATGGTGTTACTGTGTTGCAAGAGAAAAGCTGTCTTCTCTGGTCTGACTCTGGAATTGGAGCCTTCAGCTTAGCCAGCATTGTGATGTAACAGAGTTGACAGTTTTGTGCAGGTTCTGGGAAATCCAGAAGAATCACCCTTTTCCTACTGCAAAAGAGAATGTACATCAATTTACCTGCTGAGAGCTGTGTCTCAAACTTTTTCTTCAATGGCGGATTTTTCTTCAATGGCGAATAACATGTTGTTATCCACACACTGCCGTAGTGCTGACACCACATCTTATAACTGTGAATGATGTGATCTGAGAATCTGTCACCTTCAGCCTTGTACTGGTTCAAGACGTTCTGCCAAACTTGCATACAGTGCTTTTTTCTGTGAGCAATCTGGGGATCCACCTGGTGCAAAATCTGTGATATTCCAACGGTGCCACAATCATTTCCAACACACTGAAGCTGATATTCATCTCTATACAGAGTTCCCTGGTCATAATCTGCAGATTTGCACTGATGAGCAGATAAAAATGCTCTTCATTTTGTGCTGTGTCAGCTGTGAATGGTTGTCCGGAACATGGCTTGTCTTTCACATTGCTATCACCACTGCTGAAACGAACCACCCACCCCTCACTGTGCTCACATGCACTGTTTGGGCTACATTAACATTCAGCGAGCACTGACGAATGTCATGGGTACATTTTTTCCACATGGAGGAATTCAGTGACACACCTTTGCTTCATACGCACTTCCATGTTAGATGCCATCTTGTCAGATTGCCCCTCTGCTGCCATCTGTCACACGGCAACAAATTGGAATGGAATACTGGTGGAAAGGTTCATCCTCTACCATACCACCTGCTGCCACATCACTAGCATCCACCTCTGGCATTAAGGGCCAGCATACTTAAATAGGAGGCATTACTTTCAGAGCAGCCCTTGTAGCAGAGAATGAACTTCATTTCAAGATTTAGTGAAGTTTGTAGGAATTAGCCAATACTGTGATTTTTAAACCTCTTCCTGAGAATGCAGACAATCAGACTCTCTAAGAATATCCTGGAAGCTACCTCAAAGTATAGCCTGCCCTATTTTCCATACCACAAGCATGCATTTGTGGCCTCAGAAAATGTTCTTCTAAGCATGCAAGGTGCTTAGTATCCAAGCATACCTAGTATTTAAGTACATCACTGGGCACATTCACATTGGCAGCCAACAGAATGTCCTTTAGGTAGTAATATATTTAAAAGCCACACAGCATATAGATTACCTTGTGCATGGAGCAACCTCAGGAACCACTTATCCATCACAACATACATATAAAGCTAGAAGGCTGAAAATCAGCTAGCCATGGTATGAACCTCGAACAGATTACGGCGTAATAAAGTTTAGCCTCTTACAGTGCAGCCGCCCACATGCTTGAAAGTCAGGCTATGCGGACCTCAATCCTGCTCCTGCCTTGCCTCAAGAAAAGTCTGCTTTAGCTCCTGTTTGCTTTTGCTTCCACTTCATAACGGGACAACTGAGAATCACACATTACTCAGAATGCCTTTACATACTGTACCCCTATGATTCCAAAGGGTGATTGAAACTAATGGAAGTGAACAGTGGGAGAAACTCAGTAACTGTCTTCCTTGCTCCTCAGAGAGATGCAAAGCAGAGCTGAGGCATGCAGAAGAACAGCATTTCAAGTAGAAGGTCAGCTTCAGAGAGTTTGAGATTTAGTGCAAAAATTCCACATAACTAAGTTCACTCCTTGTACAAAACACACACAGCATGGACTACACCACTGTGAACTTTCCCTCTCTTACATCCCAGCCTTAACCAGGACCTGAACTCTTCTGCTAGATGAAGTTCTTAGCCCTCTTTGTTGAGACCACAAATAGCAACTATATCAACTGTGAAATTCCACACAGTAAGCAGACCTTTGAGAACTAAGCCTGCAGAATGATAATTACACAAGCAGTGTAGTTATACTGTATAACCATGGTGTAATTCAGTTTGGAAATATTCCACAATAAATACTTGGATACACTGTCGTTTACTAAGTAGACACTTATTTTTAAAAACTATAGGAAACTTCTTTCACAGGATCACATTACCAGCACTGCAATTCATTTTTAAGAGGTTAGCAGGCCTGTGAGAATTATGTGGTACCCTCCACAGACTGTCTAAAAACCAAGTACTTGATGCTACTGTCTGCCAGCTGACTGGAAGCGAAGCTATCAAGTTTCAGCTCAGCTTCACAAGTGGTCCCTAAGGGTCACATCTTCAGATACTCTTGTTGGTAATCTCATGAGGAAATTTGGGAGCTGAAGGGCTGAAAATCTGGTAACCTCCTCTGGACAGTATGAGGAGGTGTAAGAAAGAAAGAAACAGTAGGAGAGCCTGCATAGGTTTGTTCTACGTACAGAAGACTTCACTCTCCAGGGCTGCCAGATCAAGCAGTCTCTGAATGAATTCTTTAGAAAATCAAATTCATTTCCCATTTTCATCACGATGCTTTTTTTTTTTTTTTTTTTTTTTTTTTTTCCCCGAAGGAAATATTCCTATATTAAAAGTAGAATTGGGAAAAGAAAAAATCTACAGCTCCAAGTCTGAGAAATTTTAAACTTCAGGTGAATTTTCAGTTCTTATAGAAGTTTTGGCCCCTAAAGTCTCTCAGCACCCAAGTTCTGGTAATCACATGAAAGATGACAAATCTGGAAAAAAACTCAAGCCTTACCTTCTTGTAGAGACTTCTCAGATCTCTGTACTGCCACATACTATTGAGGACCTGAGATGCTGCTTTCACCACTTTTGGCGAATGCCTGTTACACACATATATTGAAAAGAGAGAGAAAACAAAAAAGTGAGAAAGAGAGTGCTGGGTTCCAGTCTCCATTCATCCTAATTTTCAAGTGCATTACTATGATCTTAAACCCACAAATGAAATTGTGGTATCAATGTACATTAAGATCTTTTGTTGGCATCTCAGAAAGCAATGTTCTTACAAGCAAGCACTACGTACTAACTATTCAGTGAGGAGCAAAATGTGTATTTCTCATCATAGTGAGAATGAGGACTCATATTGAGAGCACAGCAAAAGGAATGGGAGAGGCAGGAACAGGAACACTGTTGAGGAACTGGCTGGCATTATGTACATCTGAAAGAATGTCCTGGCTAAAACTTTTGGCATCCAGGACAATTTAGAGCCAGAATTTCTTTCTCTGTAAATGACCGGACTTCAAGTCATGACAGATGGCATTACGCGCCCCTGTGCAGCAGCCAGGAGAAACACTCTAGATGAGTGGTGAGCACTGTGTTTCAATCTGCAGGGCAGTCCAGATGCAGAAATACAACTAATTATAAAAGTCACAGTGAATTTCACTGGGAATCCCAACTAGGATTTGCATCTTACACTCAACATACTATTAATGACGGCTGCTATTGATGTTATGCTAAAAATCATAACTTCACATGAACTTTCTCTTCAAGCAGGTTTTGAAAGAGGCTCTTAAACTATTGTTTCACTCATTCGTATATACCTCTTGGGAAACGTAATGTTTAAAATCTAAACAAAACAAAACAAAAAAACTCCACCTAAAACAACAGAAGAACTCTAAGAGCATTTAGCTCAATGAAATACAGTTGAAAAGAAAGGGACTGGGAAGAAAACCCAGGCCATTAAGGGAGCATACATTACGTACTTAAGCTCCTATACTGCACCAGTATTTTGTATAAAGCAGCAAAGTACTAGAAAACCTAGAAAAGCCAAAGTCTGAAGTGAGGAATGATCAAGTTTGGGGCAGCCACTGAGGAGATTAATGCTTTACTCAGAAAAGGCAGAGGACTGCAAATCAAAAAGAAAACCAGAAAACCAGCAGAATATGTTACTGGTTTGGGCAGCAAGTCTTCTTAGCTGATCTGTGGTGTGCTGTGACCTCTGACAATGGCCACGGGGATGCTGAGAGTAAAGCTGGAATAATGACGTTCATGGCATAACTGAGTCTATTATCTTATGCAGCATTTTCCTACTATTTATCCGGTGTTTTTCTTCTTTTTTCCCCATTTCTCATCAAGAATACAGTAATAAGTGGGTAACTGACGAATAAATAGGAATTTGATAAACAATATCGAGAATTGTTGTTTTTATTATACTCCCAGCCATACTGGCTAGTGAGGCATTGGTAGCTTGGAATAACCATGGAGTAACCACAAATGCATCAACCACAATGTGAATATTGAGGAGAAATGGGAGCTAGGTAAAGACTTGGGTGTGGCCAATACGACCTTGTAAACGCCAGTCCTCTCTTGCTGTCTGATGTTGGGAATGTGTGACAACCATGGTCACGTTCCAAAGGCTAGTGAGGCCAGTCTGGAGCACTGACACTTTTGTGCATTACACTTGCACCACAATGCATGGCCAGGCCAGGGTCCTGCACTTGCAGAAACAGATGCTTCATCCCAGAAAAGACAAATTCATACTGAAGTTTTTTACTGTATGAGAATGTAAGAACTTCCTATCAGTCCAACAACTAACAATTCTGATTTTTAAACAGTGAGTTATCTGCAAGAAAGCAAACCAAAGCAATGGTAAACAATACTAACATTCTTAGAGTTGAAAAATAAAACTTTTACTTAAAATGGGCATTAGTATCACTGTGAGCTGACAGGTTCTCTTGTTCTATAATTTTGTTTCCTGTAACAATAAGAACATCTGACTGCACATCAAAGTACTTTGGATGAGGACAAATATCACTATTTTGGAAGGCATTGTATAATTATTTAACAGTACCTGGGCTAAACACTTAGGGAACTATACTCTCAGATCTTCCTAAGACTGTCTGTGATACTCTGAAAATTCCAGACTCAACAGGTATTAATGGACTCTGCCAGATAATGAATAGGTAGGTAGACAAATGCTTTATTTTGAGGAGACACATCTTATGAGAGATGGATGTGAACCTGTCTGCAACCTGCACACTTGATCTAGCAAAAATGCATTAAAAAATCAAATAGATTTAATAATAATAAATAGTGCAAATGTAAATGAATTAGCAGAGCATGGGAGCTCCCACACTTTTTGCCCTCTACAGTCAGTGTGAGAATGCTTCAGTAATGAATTTGGTATGAAACAAAAGAGTGACAACAGAGAAAAAGAAATACGATTAAATTATATTGGTAATGCTCCAATCAGAGGTGTTCTCAAACCAAATGTAGGGTGCATAAATCTTTCCTTTACGTTGGTTTTGTGGGGGCTCTCTTTGAGCTCCGATGCTGCAGTAGGCTGTGTGATGACAGCTTCCAGCAGGTGCACTGATGGAAGTTTTCTACACTATAGTGAAGGCTTTTTGTTTTCAAACTGCCATAGTCCTATTGCATTATACTCCTGCAGACTGACAAATACGAGAATCAGGCTGAGTTAGGCAAAAGAAGGATGAAGAGTGAACTCTTCCTGAAAAGCATGCACATAAGAAAATGGACAAGATGAAACCATGGCTGCTCTAAAAATGTCACAGTTGCGTGAAGGATTTTTTGGTTTTAGAGCATCACCAAGTAGCCTGCAGGTATCCTAATACTCTCTTGGAAGCAAGGTGTTGACAATATCCATGGATCCATTTATCTTCTACAGTCCACCTTACCAGCAAGATAGTGGCTGGGAAAAGCTTGGGTGTGGTGAAGAGGGACTATACAACCAGAGCAGGAGGAGCAGTAAGAGAACTACAGCAACATCCCTGCCTTTCATGGGATCCCTGTACAGTGCAGTCCAAAAACTCTGGTCCCTAATGTTTACCAGAATCTTCTGGAAGTGCTTTGAGGTAGCAGTTACTGGAGATAGTTGCTCTTTCTTACAGTGCACGTGACTACTGATGGTACCTCAAAAAGAGGCTATAGCAGGGGCTTTTGCTACTGCCATTGTTTCTTGTTACCTTTCACGCTGGGCACATGATTTGTGATGAAACCAAAGTATTCAACTCACGATTGCAGAGAGGAGGCAAACACATTAAGAACTAGTTAGAACTACTGGAGATGTTAAAAAGGGTGCAAGAGGATTTGCAAAACATACTTGTCTCCTTTACTCTTAGATATGCCAACCAGTTTCTCAATGCCGCCTGCGTCTCGTAAGGCCTTGGCATTCTCCATGTTTTTAGTGATGACTTCATGCAGCGTGCAGCAAATGGCAGTAACGGTGTCATCAGACATGGCCTTGCTTGCTGAGCTGTTGCTGTTGTTAGCGCCTGGCAGTCGGTGGACCAGATCCCTCATGGCATATTTGCCTTTGTTGGAAGAAAACGAAGGGAGAATTCAGAAGATACAGTCAAAAAGGGTGACGGAGAAGAAGTACAGGGAAAACATGCAAGACTGTATTAGCACCATTTTCATCATTGCATGTAATCTCATTGGTTATTGATACTATTTTGGAGCAAGCCACATTTATACAATTGCATGGTCAAGCACTTCACACATAAGGCCTCTGTTAATATTTCCATATTACATGAGTTGGAGACTTCAGATATGGGCTACATCATGTCCTTATGAGAATGAAACAATGATAATAAAAGCTCAGTATATGTATAAAGACAATATGAATATCATCACTTACAGAGCTCATCTCCCACTGCACAACTCATAACTCAAGGAATTACAAATAAACGTGCATTGGTTCTTAAAATCACTGCATTAAATGAAAAGCCAAGGAAACTGCTGTTTTCTAGAAGAAGCCCTCTCTAAAGGAACAGTTCTACTGCATAAGTTAATTCTATACAACATGCAGCAACTTCACTTCGTTCATTGTGTTCCTGTGACTTTACTAACGATCCAGTACTACACTGCATGACCACAGTGCAGAGATGACAGTGTAGTTTTCCACATATCCTTAGTTGTATGCACGGTACTGACAAAAAATGAAGCCCTTCTGACGTATACTCCTGATATTCTGTAAGGAACTGTTGCACATAGCCCTAACTTCCAGAACTTAAAATATAAAATGAAAGGAGCAACGTGTAACGTGAATAGATAGTGATAGGACAAGGTGGAATGGTTTTAAACTGAAACAGGGGAGGTTTAGGTTAGATATTAGGAGAAAGTTTTTCACACAGAGGGTGGTGACACATTGGAACAGGTTGCCCAAGGAGGCTGCGGATGCCCCATCCCTGGAGGCATTCAAGGCCAGGCTGGATGTGGCTCTGAGCAGCCTGGTCTGGTGGTTCGCAACCCTGTACATAGCAGAGGGGTTGGAACTAGATGAACATTGTGCTCCTTTTCAACCCAGGCCATTCTGCAATTTTTACGATTGCCATGTCATGTCATATTTAATTGAAGACACAAAAAAACACTGCTGATTACTGTAACATTTTTCATGTCTGAACAAATATTGTTTTCTCAAAATCACTCCTGAAAGTCATATAGTGCTTGTGAAAATGACAAATGAGCAGGTTTGGAGAGTTTACATATATTGTATGCCACAGTATGACTATGGGGCAAGGTTAGCATTCCTGTAGAACCTTTCAGCAGAGATATGTGAGGTGCTACATGCAGTTCTACAGTGTTACTGATAAGGGAAAATGGCAGATTTCATTGTGTTGGAAGACAAGAACAGTGAGGATGAAGGCCTGACGAGGTGGTAGCTGAGGTCAATGAGACAACTCATGAGTCATCTTCAGTGCAGCTGTGCTAGAAATCTGCATACAGCAATCATCACCAGAGCACATCACTCAGAATGAAAAGGACAGGAAAAGTAGGAAAAAAATAAATGTAATTAGTAATCGAATCTACATCATGTTTTATGAACAAAATAATCCGGTATGATTATTGTATATAATATGATAAATTAATCAGATTTTTTGGAGAATTTTAAAAAGTTTTGATAAATTAGTATATGAGTACTTATTGAAGATCTTAATTCTGAAATTCTGAAGTTGTAAGTTTCATTGTGTATGTCCATATTTGAAAGCAAAGGTAAGAGGAAAATCATATCATTTACCATTAAATACTACATTATTTTCTTTTTTCACAATTTTGCCTGCTGTGGTAGAAATATGGACAGTCATTTGCAACAGAATGCTTACAGCAGAGATGCAAGCTTTGTACTGTAATGTTAAACTTAGAAGTTATCGAGTTCATTCTGTAGTGAGATCTTAGAAACTACTCAATTTATATCATGCAAAAGTATTACTGATTATAAAACCATAATGTTACCAACACAATGCGTATAGTAGGATTTGAATCTTATCACTGTGCCATTCAGGTACAAATCCTATCTTCAAACATTTCTATTTCTTTGCACTTAGTATTTAATCAGTCATTTGCATTATTAGCTTCTCAGAAATACCATGTTAACATCAGATGTAGTACAGGTGTTAAAACCACTTTCAACAGTGGTTCGCCCAAACTCCATTACTTTTTTTTGCTCTATGAACATATGAAACACTGCTCAAGAATAAACAGAAATACTCTTTACATCTACTCCTGTTTGTTGTATGCAGCATAAACAAATTAATAGTTATCATTTTCAGTGATTACATCAGTCTGTAGCACATACCAAATCTTGTTGGCGTGTAAAAGAAAGCCCCACCTCCAAACGATCCAAACAAACCCAAACCACATTTCTTTATAGTTGTTACTCTGCTGAACGCAGTGTCTATCACTGGCCAGGGGTAAGCACAAGTAGATTATTAGGATCAGTGAGACTCTGCTTTGCACTGCACACACATACAGAACAGACCGATACTTCTTTCTCCTATAGTACCCCACCTTATGTAAAGTGCACAGTTTCAGTCCTTTGTCAGAACAGCACAATGCTTCCGTTAGCAGCCACTGGTTATATCCTTTAGCTTGAGGTATAAGAAAATCTGGATGGCTGCTCCAAGGAGCAACAGCTCTAATATTTCTGCCATGAACACATGAAACTTGGCCTGACTTAAATGTGTAATGGACAGTAGCCTTGTTATGTCAGCCAAGTTCTGTATAGCTCTACCAGTAGGAGAGCTGGGATTTTCAACTTGTAGCTCAGGAAGCCTCCCTGAGCTGAAAACTCGTGAGGGCCCTGGGAAGAGAGGAGGATGTGTGTAAGAATGGTAGTAAAAATAAATTACATGGTTAATTTTCGTCAGAGTTCCTATAGAACTGCTTTGATCTACAAATTAATTGATTTTTTATTTGACCAACACTACATATCATAAGACTCAAAACTGATTTGACACTGTTGAAGACGATTTACATAATTTGATTAAACCACCAGCTTGACAAGGGGGAAAAAAAAACACCACATACTCGTTCAACTTGTAAAGGAAGATGTTAAATATTCATAATTTAGGGGCACTGTCACAGGAAATAAATTGTCTCATTTGTGTTTGAAACAGTATTTATTTGACCCTACAAAATTTAAGTTATTTTCCTAAGATAAAACTTCCATCACTGTTCTATATGGAGAGAATCTAGCTGCACGCACTGAGATATAAGATGATAATGTTTGCTTACTAAATGCATCACCAATACAAATCTAACATCTTTTCTTTGCATGATAAGGTCTCATTAGCGCCTTTGTACACGTTTCTATTCCTTAATTCGGGAAATTTTCTGCTTTTCATAGGGTCAAACTGAGAGCTGTCCTAAGAAAAATTTTGTTTCTACAGCAAATCAGTAGAGCTAACTATTCTTCTGGTAGATTTAACAAGAGCAAGATTATTGCAGAAAAGGTTCCACTTCTGGAAGCATTCCCCTAATGCTGCCCTGAGATAAATTCACTGCTGATGTAACCCCAAGGACTTCATTTCCATTTTCACTCATCTCTGAAAAATGACTCTGACACACTGGCACAGTTTTGATACAGTTGTGGCACGGTTCTTGGTTTGAGAGCACAAGGAAAATTAAAATATTGGAAACATGAGAAATCTCAAACAGATATTAATTCAAACTAAGATCCTTGTCCTAGAGGTAGAGCTTGCTCTAATGTAAGTAATACATCATGATTTTTTCTACTTCAGAGTTACTCACAAATTCACATCTTGTAGCTACATAATAAAAGTTAGCAAAACACCACCACATTATACTGGAACATCACAGATACCCTATCCCAGAACCACTGGTACCAGTATGCTATAATACATGCAAATTTTGTGCTATTGGTTATTAATGCGTGCTCTATTTAAATTTCCAGGCAGACATGCTTTCGTGCATTTTTGTCATCTATGTCTGTTTTTAAGACTATTCAGCCTCAGTATTTCATGGCTTTTATGGGAAGACTACTGGGAGACTTTTTATTATTACTTTCAAATATTTAATGTATGTGCCCAAACTGTCTATTTAATTCATATGGAACAAATTTTGATAATGAGTCCACGTATTTCACTGACAGCCTAATAAATTGGAATGTATCCATCACATGACAGCAGGGGCAGAAATACCTCCTCAGTATTTGAGAAATAGTTGTTTTGTGTACAGTGCTTCTCTTGTCAGAGACTTGTTTTAAGGTGTAATTGCTAGTGACATCCAGCACTGGTGTAGTGCCTAAAAGCCCCCTGTGTTCAAGTCATAGAATGGAATCATAGAATGGCCTGGGTTGAAAAGGACCAGTAATCATCTAGTCATCCCCCTGCTATGTGCAGGGTTGCCAACCACCAGACCAGGCTGCCTAGAGCCACATTCAGCCTGGCCTTAAATGCTTCCAGGGATGGAGCATCCACAGCTCTCCACAGACTGGGAGAGATTTGCATGCATAAGTATACGGCTGCTGCTCAGACTGGGGAGACATTAGGAAAGGCGTGGGTAGTTAAAGAAAAAGAAATAATTCACCTGATGAGGCAGTAAGGGTTATAAAGGAGGACCCCTGTTTCAGAAGACAAGGAACAGTGCAGAAAGGAACAAGCACCATTAGCCACTCCAAAATGAATGAATGATGTGACTGATTACAGCAGCACGGCTTTCTGCAGCAACCATTAACCTATAGCTTTACTATCTACCCTCTCCATAATACCTAGTTTCTAGCATCACTAACTGTAGTAAATGCTGCACAGGAAAGAACCAGAACCATTCAACACAACAGTCTGCATACAGCAGCTCTATTCCCCTTGTCTGGTGACTTCCGGTTTAATATAACTAAGCTTTTGACAAAGATTTATGCAACTCAAAGGCAGTATCTACTGACCAACCTAGATGGCATGGCAAGTACTACATGATGGTCTGTGATATTGCTCATCACAATACAACAATTTCTTGTTCCTACAACCATCAGGCACAAACTATTAGATGGATGGAAAAAGCCCCAAGCAGTGGGACT